CCCCCAGTGATCACTCCTGGCCGTGCTCAGGGGACCATATAGGATGTCAGGGATTGAACCCGGGTCAGCCACGTGCAAGGCAAAAGTGCTAACCACTGTACTATCATCGCTCCGGTCCACTGCAGCATTATAAAGTTCTATTTATTATATTTCTTTTCTATTTTCTTTTAATTCAGATATCCTCTATTTTCTACTTGTTTCTTCAGTGCATTAAAATAAACAGATAAATTGACATTTAAAATTGTATCATTTTAAGGTACTGAGTGTTTTGATTTGATGTATTTGTACTGCAAGATACCATTAAAAATACCATTTAGTATTAGCTAACACCTACTGTTTCAATATTTGGCGCTAACTAATAGTCCACCCAAATATTGCAGTTACATGTCTGTAGTCTGCACAATTCCAACCAGAAGCTTATATAGATAGTCCAAGATTTTCCAAAATAGTGTCCAAATCTCATTTTCAATTTCAGTTTTAAAGATTTAATTCCTACTTAAAAATTTGAATCACTGTGATTTAAAATATTGTGGATGATGAGGCTTTGTGTGTGAAAATTTCCAACCCCAAAGTCCCCACCAAAGCATCCAACCCCTCCCAAGTTGCTCCCCACACCCCCCACCAGTCACCCCACCCTTTGCCCAATTCCACAAACTCCCTTTCAGGCTCTGTTGCTATTTCCTGGCTGGTTCTTTATAACCCATCTATGAGGGAGAGGGTTCTGTGTCCACTCCTCTCCTCTGGCTGGTCACTCAGCATGGGCCCTGCAGGCCCATTCAGGCAGAGGCAAATGGCATGGTTTCGTTTTTCTTACAGCTAAGTCGGACGCCATGTGTGTATGACCCTCAGTTCCTTCACCCAGTCATCTGTTCTTGGGCATTTGGGTTGTTCCAGATCTTGGTTTTGTCCAGATCGTTTTTGTGAGGATTCTCACCTATTGTTGCTGGGGACTGGACCAAGGTTCTTGCAAGCCGTGGAGCACGCCAGTCTTTGAGAAGCCTCTTGGCTGGCACCCTGGTTTTAACAGGAGAACTCGCTGAGGTTGAGCACGTAGCCTTTGAAACTATTCTGTAGGTTGGCAAAGTGCACTTAGGACCTGAAGGAGAATGCTGTCTCTTCCGCCAACTGCCCGGGTGAGGGATGCTGTGAACTTACCACGCTTCATACTCCCTTCTTTCTTTTCTCTTGCAGTGGAGGTAACATTTTGATGCCCTTGGTGATGGCATCTCCAGCATCACCAAAGTATTCAAGGATCCTCTTCCACCTGTCCACAGGTGATATCTTACCCATCGGCCTCGTCCCCTCCCCTTTCCCTACCTCCTGGAAACTTCAGTGTGTAGCCAAAGGCCAAGGGTTTGTTTGTAGATACGTCTGCTATCTGCTTGGAGTCTTCACGGCCCATCTGCGAGTGAGGTGGTGAGGTCTGGGTCCGTCCCCAGACTATTTCTCTGACCGTCACCTCCTCCAGCTCCATCACATTGCAGGAAAAGGCGGGACTTCATCTTGCAGCCGAGTAGGGTTTCATCACCTCAAGGTCTTTTCTTTTTTTAAACATGAAGTAGAAAGGTTTGTTTTAAAGAGTTCGGAGACAAATGAGGGGAGAGAGAGTGAGGAGTACTTGTTCACGGGAACACAGGCTTCTCCAGAGAAACGCCTGAGCCTGTTCCCTCTGGCTGGACCAGTCCCCGGTGAAGCCCACCTCCTTGCCCACTCCTGTCGTTGGACATTTGGTTTTGCTCCACACGAAGAGTTTCTGCATATCTTTCCCCCCCATTTTTTATAATTTTATTTATTGAATCACCGTGAGAGCAGTTACAAAGCTTTTGGGTCTAAGTCTCAGTCATACAATGAAACACCCGTACCTTCACCAGTGCCCATTCTCCACCACCAAAAATCCCAGTATACCCCATCCCACACCCTCCCCCTGCCTGTGGGGCAGATGATTTCCACATTACTCTCTCTCTACTTTGATCACCTTCACTATTTCGACACCAGACCCACCATTATTTGAGATTTTACCCCAACACTCAGATCTGCTGAAAAGGCAACAATAGACAATTTGTGTTCTATTGCTGGTTATGAATAACATATGATGTCGTGTGGCTGCAGTAGGGCCATGTGGTTTTGAAATTCCGAAATTTTAACACTTAAATCTGGAGGTATTTCTGCCAAAAGCCACTGGGTTTAGAGATCTGCTCCTGAGTCTCTGGGATCATGGCCGTTCAGCAACTTGATGAGGAGCCAGAGAGGCCGTTCGTGGGCGATGACTTGGGGTCTCGTTGGGGTGGGGAGGACAAGCCCGGCTCCACCCCCATTCCGTGAGGCCCTGTGTGTCTCGTCACTGGGGGCCCAAACCTGACTATCCAGTGGCCTCTGAAGGATGGCGGCCACTGGGCCGCCAGGGGGAACAGGCCAAGGCACGAAACCTATTTCCACCTGGGTTGGCCCAGCACCGGTAACCTACTGCAGGGACCGGATGCATTACTACCTAAAGCCGCTGGTTTCCAAGATTCGTTTCTGAGTCTCTGGGATCATGGCCATTAAGCAGTTCAATCAGGAACCAGAGAGGACATGCCTCCAATTATATAGCTGAGCCGGAGGTGGTTTGTGGGTGTGTTTCCCACATACCTAACTTTTGGCCGTTTACTTTCTTGGTAAACTTTGCCCCAACTTTTTGGGGTCTGGCCAAAGGCACAGCAGCAATTTTGGGGTATCGGGAAGTCTGAAGGCGCCATCAGGCTGCCGATGCACTCGCCTCACAGGTACAGATTGACCTGCTGGCGGCACCATACCCCCGTCTGCATATCTTTTTGAGTTAGCATTTCTTTTGATAGACACAGGTCATCGAGTCACTAGGTAATATGAGCAATTCACACTTCTGGGGTCTCTTTGAGCCCTGGTGTTTGGGGGGCCCTGCCAGGGAGCAAGTTAGTACTGGCTGCATCTCTGCGCTAGTCCCCAGAGCAATCTCTCTGGCCCAGAAGGAGCCACCTACATTCTCATGCTTTGTTTCCTGTTTAGGCCACACTTGACAGTGCTCAGGGATTACTCCTGCTCTGTGCTCAGGACCTGCAGGGCACATGTCCCACCCACTGCACTGGGTGCCAGAGGTCCCTCTTTACAAGGATACCGTGTTGAACTGCGGAAGTGCCTTCCTGACTTCCTCATCTGTGACAGCCCTATTTCTAAACAAGGTGACACTTTGAGGAACTGGGGCGAATGGACTTCATCATATGAACGGGGGGGGGGGCACACAGTTAAACACAACACAGAAGAGGGGGTCATGAGGACCCAGATAATAGTGACAATAGGACATTTTTCCCACACTGCTGGGAACTCCCGTTGGCCGGTGTGGAGGTCCAACTCTGGCCTCTCAGCTGCTGTGTGCTGCGGCCCAGGGGAGACCGTGGGGTGGGCAGAGATGTGTCAGGGGACAGCACCCCACTAATCCTCTCCAGCTGTTTTCCTGGAACTCTTTCCATGCTTTCGGCATGTGGATATTTGGCAATGGAGGATGCCAGGTTAAGAGCTTCGTAACATTTGAAATATGGGTGAGTATCTGGGCGATTTAGCTCCCAGGGACTTTTGTTCATTTAGGAATTGGGTACTGGGATATTCACTAGAGCTGACGTGTGAGATATTTTGTACCCTATCTAGTACCTATACTGGAGGTCCTGATGCAGGCAGGTAGATTCGGGAAGGTCCCCCAACATCATGGCCGTGAACTTTCTAGGATGGAATAAAGCCACCAGTCCTAAGTCTGACCCTCCTGTGGTACAGAAAGCAAGACCTGATAAGACCCTCCCCAGCAGCTGACCCTGAGGACCTGGACCCCTCCCTACAGAAAGGGCCTGAAGGACATTCCTGGATGAACCCTCAATTCCTTCCTTTAATCTGATTAACCCTCAGCTAGAGAAAATCCATTAGGAGGAAAGGTCAAGACAAGGCGTCTCACCCGCCTAAAATATTCTGTGTGGTGCCGTAATGAAGTATACGTATATCAAACCCACACTGCGTTCTTCGAGAGAGCCTTCAAGTAAGCTAAGAACTTTGCATGAATATGATGCATGAATTTCCATTCATAAGTTACAGCAAATATACCACTTAGTGATATTGGTAACAGGGGGATGTATATCTGCATATAGATGATATATCTGTTGTTGCAGAGATATATGAAAAATATCTCTACTTTTATCTCTATTTTTCTATCAATCTAAAACTGCTCTGAAATCGTCATTAAAAATAAACTCAGTATTTTTATGTTAATAAATAAAATATATGAAAATATTTTTCACAAAAAAAAAAAGGAAAAAGGAAAAAGGAATTCCGTGTTCCTGCTCAGCACTCGGGCGGGCGGGGAGGCGGTGCCCAGCTCTGCGGACCCCCGCCCTGCATCTCCACCTGCCGCTCCCCGTCCTCTCGGGGCGCCCACCCCGGCGCCCCCGGCCGTGCTCTGCGGCTCGCACCGCCGCCCCCCCAAGAGCTGCTCCGGACTGGAACCAGGCGGGACGGGGTGGAGGCAGCGGCCGGGATGCACCAGGCTGAGGTCCGGGCTCGGAGTGGGCGTGCCCGGGGCGGGGCCAATAAGTAGGCGTGCCCGGGGCGGGGCCAAGAAGTGGGCGTGTACGCGTGGCGGACCCTGAAGGCGTGCCTGGCGAGGGGCGTGGCCAGAGGCGTGTCCTGCCTCCAGGAGGCGGGGCCTGTGAAGGCTTGGCTGGGTGGAGGAGCGCGGTCGAGGGCGTGTCTTGGGAACAGGGGCGTGACCCGGGGCGGAGCCTAGGCTGTGCTCGGGGCGGAGGGGCGGGGCCGGGCGGGCGCGGGGCGGGGCCTGCGTCTATCCTGGCGGAGGGGCGGGACCCGGGGCGGGGCCTGGGCCGAGGGGCGGGGCCAGCGCCGTGCCGAGCGGAGGGGCGGATCCGGGGCGTGTCCTGGGCGGGGCCTGCGTCGCCCTCGGGGCGGGACCGGGGCGGAGGGGCGGGGCCGGGGCGGGGCCGGGGCGAGCCGGGCCGGGCCGGGCCGGGCCGGGCCGGGGCGTGTCCGGAGCGTGTCCAGGCCGGTGGTGAGCGCTGCGCCGGGCGCCGCTGGCCGCGTCCTGCTGCGCGGCCATGTGGCTCCGGCCCGAGGAGGTGCTGCTCAAGAACGCGCTGCGGCTGTGGGTGACCCAGAAGAGCAGCTGCTACTTCGTGCTGCAGCGGCGCCGCGGCCACGGCGAGGGCGCGGGACGCCTGTCGGGTGAGGCCGCGCTGCCCACCTGCCGCCGGCCGGGCCGGGCCGGGCTCGCGGGAGGGGCGGGGGGCGCGGGGCCGGGGAGCCCGCCCGGCCGGAGGCGGAGCCCGAGCCCCGGGCGGGTCGGGAGCGCGGGGAGCCGGGCCGCTGGCTCCGCCGGCCAGTGGTCAGTGCGGGAGGCTCTGGGGGCTGGCCCAGGCCCGGAGGGCGCCCGGCAGGGCGGTGGGCGGGGATGGGGGCCCCGCGGCCTCGGGGTCGGCACCCGTGGGCCCCCGCCCCTGCCGAGCGCCCGCCTGGGTTCGGCTCTGCGCGGCACGTCCCTGCTGCCGAGCTGCGCCCAGGGGAGCGGGGCCCGTCCAGGGGCGACCCTGCCTGGGTCCACGGGGAAGGCTGGGAGGTCCCACCCGGGAGGGGTTTTCTGGGGCGGGCCTGGCCCCCGGGGGCTGCTGCCCGCTGCCCCTCGGCAAGTGTGACTTGCCTCCGCCTGGCGGGCAGACCCTCACCTAGGCCTGTCCGAGGGGCTCGGACTCTGCCTCTCGAGGGGGCCTGTGTGGTTCCGGGCAGGAGCGCCCGCCCCCCGCCCCGCGCCCCCCGCCCAGCCCTTCCAGTGGGCCCAGGGGTGCCCTGCGCGTTTGGCCTAGCCCTTGCGTCTACTCGGGTTTTCTGTGCTTGGCCCAATCGAAGAAAGACTCTCATGGGCAACAGGGTCAAACACCCCCCTCCCCACCAGGTACACAGCGCACCCTCCCCGGCTTCTATCCGGCTTCTATCCGAAGGCCCAGCGCCCCAGGCTGTGCGTGGTGGGTGTCCCGGCAGCGGAGCCTTTGGCAAAACTTCAGGCCTTTAGCCACGAAGCAGATTGAGGCTGTGGGTTGAGTCACCCCAGCCTTGCCACATCCCCCGGGGGTTGGGCCAGGGTGCCCCTGAGGACCGTTCGGCGCTCTGAGGGTGACTTGTGACAAGGGCAGTGCCCCTGGGGTCCTGAGAAAATAGGGCCCCAATGGCAGCGTCTCTGCAGTAGATTCCCGGGGTTCACAGCCGAGTTTGAAACCGTTTGGGAGAGTAGTCGTGGGACCAACGCAGTGTCCCATTACCCTGCAGAGGGGTCGGTTGGAGCCGGCGTCTCTCCTGCTGGTGCTGGGCCTGCAGTCGGCACCTGGACAGGCAGACTCCCCCCGCGTGGAACGGGGTCTGCCGTGTGTAAGGGCCGCCACCGTCAGTCCCCGAGAGTGTGACTTGCCTCCGTCTGCCATGCACACCCTCACGTAGACCCCCAGCTCTGCAGTCCTCGTCACTCGCACTCACTCCCCGTGCCGCACCACACTTGGTCGTTTGCTGTTTCTTTAGCTTCGGCTCAGTACTGTTGAGGGGTGGATGATTGTTACCATCTCCAAGGGGCCTGCGGCAAAGTCTGCTCAAAAGTGTTTGCTCAGCGAAGGATGGAGGGTCCGTGCTGAGGTGGAGCCCCTGGGCCCTTGCTGAGTGAAGGGGAGGGTCCGTGCTGAGGTGGGAGCCCCTGGGTGCTTGCTGAGTGGAGGATGGAGGGTCCATGCTTACTGGGGGAGCCCCTGGGTGTTTGCTGAGTCAAGGTGGGTCCGTGCTGAGGTTGGAACCCTTGGGTGTTTGCTGAGTGGAGGGTGGAGGGTCCATGCTGAGGTGGGAGCCCCTGGGTGCTTGCTGAGTGAAGGTGAGGGTCCGTGCTGAGGTGGGGGCCCTTGGGTGCTTGCTGAGTGGAGGATGGAGGGTCCGTGCTCCCTGGGGGAGCCCCTGGGTGCTTGCTGAGTGAAGGGGAGGGTCTGTGCTGGGGTGGGGGGCTGCTGTCCCCTAGACTGGGCAGGAGCGGAGGCCAGGTCTCCCTCAGGAGCAGCCCGGTCCTTCTGGTTTCCTGTCTCCCTGGCAGGGTGGCCCTGCTCCCTCTGAGGGGGCCCCCGCCTCCCTGGCCATGCCTCAAGGAAGACTGGGCACGGCCTTGCCGAGGGTGAGCAGCTGTGACGTTGCCATGCCCCCCGCAGGAGCAGCAAGCCGGGTCCCAGGTGCTCGTGGCCGGGGTCTCCTGCCTGGAGGGAGAAGGTCCCTGCAGCTCAGGGGCCCCGAGAGGAAAGGAAGAGAAGCCCGCGGGGCCGGCAGGGGGTGAGTCCCCAACGCCTGGGTCTGTTTGCGAGGGGAACTGCCCGGCCTTGGCGTGACCCCGGCCTCTGCTGCAGAACTGCTCCAGGGTTTCACTTCTGTTTTGAGAGATGCACAACTTGGGCTTGGGGGCTCCGCCTGGGTGACCGCGGAGATGCTGGCGTCCGTCCTGCGAGCGTGGAGGGAGCTTCCCACCCGAGCGTCTTCCGTCGCGCGTTCCCTTCTGACCTCGCAGCCTCCTCCCCAGAGCCGGCGGCTCAGCGGTGTAATTGGAATCAGATTATTGATGTTTTCTGCTTTTCCAAACGTTCACCTTCAGAACCCGGCCTGCCAGGCCCCGCCAGCGCTTCTTTTGGTCCCAGAGGAAGCCTGATGGAGGGGACCATGGGCATTGGTGTCGGGGTCCGCTTCTCGGCTGTGAGTCTGGCTAGTTTGTTTGGTTTCCTGGGGTCCTCGTTGTAACTTGACCTTTAGACATGGGCAATAGTAAACTTGCTCTGGAGAGGCAGAAGCTTCCCACCTTGCCCACCAGCAGTGCACAGGGTTCCGATCAAAATAAGGGTTTGAATTAAAATAACAGCGTGCTTCAAAAAATAGCCAAAAACCGAGCCCAAACCACATTGTGGTGTGGAATAGCAAAAGCCCTTCTGCTTGTCGAGGTCATGGGCAGGGGACAGACGCAGGCTGGCCAGAGCCTAGACTCAGCGTCCGATGCAGTGTCCCCCAGTGCCCACCGCCTGACCACAGAGCCAGCGCAGCCCCTGAGCTCCGCTGGGGTTGGCTCCCAAGTCAGAGGAAGGGGCCAAAGAGCAAGCGCTGGGTGGAAGAGAGACACACGCTAGATTGGGAGCGGGTCCCAGTGCTGTGAGGAAATCAGATCAGTAGCCATCTGTGCCAAGCGCTGCCCAGGGGCAGGCACTGGGGGTCGGGCTTCCTTGGTGGTTTCCAGCCCTTCTGAGCAGAGGGAAGCTGGGTGATCGCGTGTTGACTGTGAGGCGCATTTGAGAGAGACCGGAGAGGCAGTACAGGGCACCGCCCTCTCCCGCCTCTGAGCTGGGTCCTGCTGCCAATGTCCTCTGGGCCCTGAGCACGGCCCCCGAATGAAAGCAAAGTGAACCCTGACCGGGGTCCCTAGTACCGCAGGGCTCACTCAGGCGGCAGGGGCGGGGAGGGAGCTAGCCGGCGAGGGTGGCCTCCTCTGACTGTCCTCCCGATGGACGCGGGTGGAGATTCTCCCTGCCAGCTCTGTTGGTGTCTCCGCCCAGGGGAGAGCTCCGGCCAGGCACGTGCTTGGTGGTGAAGAGCGCGTGTCTTGTACGTGAGAAGCTCAGCCCTCAGCTCCAAACCCCAAACCCAGCAGCCGGGGTGCCCCCATACTGCCTCTGCGTCTTCCGGGCTCTGGCCTCGCTGCCCGAAGGAGGACAGAGAGAGATGCACAGGGCCAGGGCAAGTGCCCAGCGGCGGGGCAAGTCTGAGCTACGTGGACCTGGGCCTCGAGCCCTGGCACTGCCAAGAGCGAACCCCCAGAAAGCTTACAGATCAGAGAAGTGCCTTGACTCCGGGCACAAACCGGAAGACTCTTTAGGTCAAATAAACTGCATTTCCAAACGGAAAGTATTGGCATTCCCTGAAAGGTGGCTGTCAATGGTAAGGCTGAGGACTCCTGCCTGTCACAGACTTGAGAAGGAAAGACTCCAGCCGGGCGGGACCGCGGGGGCCGAGCGTGGCTCTGGGCCGTGGAGACCGGGACACTCCAGCCGGGGCGGACTTGGTTCTTGATGGTTCTGAGGTCCAGCCCGGACGGAGCCTCCCTGCCTCCCTGCAGCCCCGGCCGGAGCTGTGGCGAGGCAGGTGGATGGGCGCCCTGCTCGGCGTGAGGGCCGTGGCCTCGTGGCATCTCTGTGCTCTGGTGCGGGCTTGAAGTGGAAGCAGCAAGCCTGACGGTGTCCCCGCAGAGACCCCCGCTTGTCTTTTTAAAACGGGGTTGGGCCGGTCTTGGCGAGGGCACATCCTTACGGAGCCTGGAGGCTTTCAGCCCTGCACGCCTCCTTCTGCTCTGACGCACAGGTGTTGCTCTGTGCCCACCTGCCCTGGCCTCCCCAGCCCCTCCGCTCTGTGCACCTGCCCCGCTCTCTGTGTGTGTGTGTGTGTGTGTGTGACTTTTTTTATTGAATCACTGTGAGACAGACTCTTGCACAGCTGTTCATGATGGGATTTCAGAGAGAGAGAAAGAGAGAGAAAGAGAAGGAGAGCGCCTGCCATGGAGGCAGGGAGGGGGTGGGATTGGGGTGCTGGGAGGGACCCTGGCGAACTGGTGCTGGGAAATGCGCACTGGCGGAGGGACGGCTGTTGAACGCTGGATGGCGTGTGGTTTTAAAGCCGGACCTGAGCTGGGAGGGCCTCCGCAGGCCTGTGAGGGTCCAGTTCCTGTTCCCGACTCCCACGGGAGTGCGGGGCGGCGCTGTAGGTTTGGGGCAGTGGTGCGTCCGTCCTGCGCGGGGTCCCGGCTGCGGTGTGCGGGCTCTGTGTGCTCCTGAGGACCGCTGGTCGGTCATTCGCCAGCTGCACGCGCCCGAGTGACTAGGTGCAGTGTCCCATAGGCGGAGCGCAGCCCAGTGCCCAGCTGCCCTCCAGCGCAGCTCCGTGAATCTGAATCCACGTTCTCAACACGTGGTGTGTTGTCCTTCTGGATCTTGTCACTCTCTTTATGCTCTTTTCCCCATTTTTGCTTTTATTATTATTATCGTTTGTTTTTGTATTTGGGTCACAGCCGGCTGCCCTGACAAGCGCCGGCGCTCGGGGCTGTGTGATCAGGGGTCAGGGCCACGTTGGAGGCCAGCCGCTGCCCCTGGCTTTGCTGTGTGAGACGCAGAGGCAGT